TTCGTGGCCTTCGAAGTAACTTTTCTTCTGTTGAGTCTTATCTCTTGCAAAGTTCACCAGACCTACTTGCTCTTTGTGAGACTAATTTGAGTTCAGCTGTGTCATCTTTGTGATCTAAGTGTTGATGTTTATCTTCCTTTAATTCGTAAAGACTCCAATAGTCACATGCTTAGAGTGGGCATTTACATTCGTAAGAATTCACCGATTTGTTGGGCAACTAGGTTTGAATCCACAGATTACTCTTTTATGTGCTTTCGTTTAGCACCACTTCACTCTATCACCTTTCTCTTTGTTCTATATCGCTCTCCCTCATCTCAAGACTGCACTCTTCTTGATGTTATTTCTAATTATATTGACCAAGCCCTCATTCTTTATCCATCAGCCAAAATTGTTGTTGTTGGTGACTTTGATGTTCATCACACTGAATGGATTTGCTCTAGTGTCAGTGACTCTGCAGGCATTAAGGCCCACAACTTTTGTTTTTCTTAATCCCCAACTCAAATAGTCAACTTTCCAACTCGCTTTCCAGACAACCCGAATCGTTTACCTTCTCTACTCAACTCATGTCTTGTTTCTGATCTTAGTCAGTGCTTAGTTTCTTCACACTCACCCTTAGATGTGTCTGATCATGGTTTGGTCGCTCTAAAATTATTATCTCATTCTTCTTTACCATCAGAATCCCCCTATCATTGTACATCTTACAACTACCTTAAAGCTGACTGGGACTCTTTCTGTGATTTTCTTCGTGATGGCCCCTGGGTAGAAATCTTTCGTCTCCCTGTTGACAAATGTGCTTCTTACATAACTTCGCGGATTCAGGCTGGCATGGAATCCTTTATTCCCTCTCGACGATTTCAGGTCAAGCCTCACTCTTCTCCATGGTTTTCCTCACATTGTGCTGCTGCAATTGCCAATCGAAACCATTACTTCCATATCTATCAGCAAAACAATTCTCCAGAAAACAGATGTCTGTTAATTACTGCTAGGAACCATTGTAAAAAGGTTTTGTCTTACGCAAAACTGTTCTCAGATCATGAAATCTCGTATTTGATCACAAAAGTTAGGCTCTTGCGACTTCTGGAGAATATTTAATAGTATCAATAATAAGGGCAAGTCTGTAATTTGTATGGTTCAGACTTTGTCACCTCACCTAAAGACAAAGCTGAATTATTTGCCAAGAACTTTTCATCAATATCATCTCTTGATGCCACTAGTTGTACTAGTGGCATCAAGAGATGATATTGATGTACTACTAGATGTACCGACATTAGTACCACTCCAGCTTCTGTATCTAAATTGATTTCCCGCTTAGACTCTTCTACAGCTTGCGGCCTGGACAACATACCTGTTATAGTCTTGCAGAAATGTTCTCCGGAGCTGTCGTCTATCCTTTCAAAACTATTTAACAAGTGCTTATCAGAGTCTTGTTTTCCAGCCTGCTGGAAAGCAGTATCTGTTATCTATATTTTTAAAAATTCTGGAGAGTGGTTCGATTCGTCTAACTACCGTCCCACTAGTCTTTTTCCTATCATAAGCAAGGTTTTTGAATCTTTAATTAACAAACAATCTCGAATCTCATAGCCTACTTTCTGATCATCAATATGGATTTCGATCTTCTCATTCTACGGCTATCAGTAATAAACAATAGGTTTTATTGCGCATTAGATAAAGGTGGAGAGGTTAAGGCCATTGCTCTTGACATTTCTAAAGCGTTTGATAAAGTTTGGCATGCTGGTCTTCTTCATAAGCTTTCTACTTACGGTGTATCTGGAAACATCTTTAAGATTATTGAATCCTTTCTTTCCAATCGTAGTATAAAAGTTGTCCTTGATGGACAGCACTCTCCTTCTTATTCTGTGGCCTTAGGGGTTCCTCAACGTTCAATTCTTGGCCCTATACTCTTTTTAATTTACATTAACGATCTTCCAGATATTCTCACATCTAAAATGGCATTGTTCGCTGATGGTTCTAGCATTTATTTTTGGCACGATAGGAAGCCAACTCCCTCTGATTGCTTGCAGGGGGCATCTGAGCTTGAAAAGGATCTCACTTCTGCTACAGCATGGGGCTCACAGTGGCTGGTGAACTTTAATTCAGATAAAACTCAATTTTTTTCAGCCAATCGTTATCGCAATAATTTAAACCTTCCTATATTTATAAACGGTAATGTACTCAATGAGTCTCCTACCCTTCATCTTCTAGGATTAACTCTTACTTCTGATCTTTCTTGGAAACCTTATATCAAATCCGTTGCGAAATTGGCATCTGCTAAAGTTGCTTCTCTTTATCGAGCTCGTCACTTTCTTACTCTGGATTCTATTCTCTATCTCTATAAATCTCAAATGCGGCCTTGTATAGAAAACTGTTGCCATATCTTCTAATGATGCCCTTTCTCTTTTAGACAAGGTGCAAAAACGCATTGTAAACATAGTTGGACCTGCTCTTGCAGCCAACCTTCAACCTCTGTCACATCGTGGTAATGTTGCTTCTCTTTCTCTTTTCTACAAATACTATAATGGACACTGCTCTAAAGAGCTAGCATCTCTTGTGCAATCTTCAAAAATTCATTCTCAAGTTACTCATTATTCAATTAAGTCTCATCTTTTTTCTTTTACTGTTCCTAAGTGCTCCAAAAACTCTTATTTGTCTAGTTTTTTTCCTCGAACATCAGTTCTTTGGAATTCGCGTCCTTCATCTTGCTTTCCTGATTCATATAATTTGCAATCTTTTAAGCCGCCTGTCAATCGTTATCTTGCTCTACAATCTTCATCTTTACTCTTCTAGTAACTTCTGACACTAATTAGTGGTTGCTTGCAGCCTTGTTGGAAGCGAAGATGGTTAAAAAAAAAAATTCTATTATTTCTGGATATTTTTTTCAAATTTAAGTTTTTCTGGATATTCAAAACATTGAATATCCAGAAAAACTAAAATTTGCAAAAAATTAAAAGAAATTCTTAACATCAAACCCTCTATAACATTTAAATCTTACATTCTCAAGTCTAATGGTAACACTATCTCAGACAGTATGGTTGTTGCTAAAATTTTAAACAAATACTATGAAACAATACAACACTCACCCGAAAGTAAAATGATTTCTTCTAAAAGTATCTTCTGTGACTATTTAAAAATTCCTAATTATAATTCTTTCTTAATAAACAATAGTGACTGAAAATGAGGTGTCTGATTTAATAAAAAATAGTTTACAAAATGGTAAAAGTTTAGGAACAAATAGTATCCCCACACACTTTCTCAAACTTACTTCTCATGTTATCTGCAAGCCTCTCTTTACCATATTGAATAATTCTTTTAATAAAGGTCTTTTTCCAGATGTTTTTAAGATAGCCAAAGTTATTCCTACCCATAAAATGGGTTCTCTAATGGAACACAGAAATTATCAACCGTTTTTTTTCTATCTAACATTAGTAAAATATTTGAAAAAGCTATGCACAACAGACTTTATAGCTTTCTTGACAAAAATCAATGTCTTTACAAACATCAGTATGGATTTCGTAACAAACACTCCACAACTCATGCCCTTATTAAAACAACTGAAACTATTAGAAATGCTCTTGACAACAAACTTTTTTGCATGTGGAGTGTTTCTTGATTTAGAGAAAGCCTTTGATTCTGTTGATCGCTCCATCCTCCTAAGTAAATTGGAACACTACAGAGTTGGAGGTAATGCTCTCCGATGGTTTTCATCATATTTTTTTAATAAATCAGTAAATTTTCTCTATCAATGATGCCAATCTTTTCCAATAAAATGCTCCACGGGTGTACTTCAAGGTTCTGTATTAGGACCATTGCTTTTCCTTATTTAAATAAATAATCGTAATATTTCCATAAAATTTTCAACGGCTAACTATTTTGCTGGCGACACCAACTTACTCATAACAAATAAATGATTAAAAAAAATTAACAAATATATTAATCATGATTTATCTAACCTTATTCAATGGTCGTGTTCTAACGAACTAAGTCCTTATACCAACAAAACTGAACTCATTATTTTCAAATCAAACCAATCTAAAATGTATAAAAACCTAAACTTTAGACAAAAAGTGGACAAAATATTTCATGTAGATTTCATTAGAATATCTTGGAATGCAACTTAATATATACCATTCAATTTTTGGATCACATCTTAGATACGCTTGTCAGGTTTGGGGCAATGCAAGTCTAATGCTTTTTTAAGATTATGTAACCTACAAAATTTAATTTAAACTTTTGTTTCAGAATATATATTGTTATTGTTATTGTAAAAGTGAAATTAAATTGTAAATAAGGGAAAACAAATTCTGTATTTTTTGTGGATATTTTATTTAAACAATTTTTTGGGTTTTTAAAATATGACTAGGAAGATCTATGTATGTTGAAAGATAATAAAAATATAAAACTGATGAAGATGGTAATTTTAATTTTTTTATATCTTTTATATTTATTTGTTTTTTGTATCTTTTATAATTATATTTTAGTCTCTTACTTTTTAGGAAATCTATAAAACATATAACTTAAACTCAGAAATTTTAGACTAATTGACAAGTATTTTATTGAGTATAGCAGATCTTTCTAAACCCCCTCTACCTTTCAAAGTCAAGGGTTGCTTGTCTTTTAGTAATTGATAAAAACGTTTTGTTTACATTCACTTATTTTGATTACCTTCAACTTATTTTCTTTCTTGTAATTTTTTTTAGTTATAAACATTGTTTGTAAATCCATCTGCACTTTGATGTGCACTTGTAATATTATTTAGTAAGTTATATAATATAATGTTTGTGATTGAGTTAAAAGATATAAATACAAATCTGTTAAAGTAAATAATGTAAAAAAATTAAAATCATAGCACTCTGTACTCTAATTGTCATTTTTGGCCTATCAAACCCCCTGACCCATTTTGCTTCTGTCACATTTGTACAGTGTTTTTTTTAGTGTGTGATAGAACCATAAAAATAAAAGCATGTTTTATAACTTTATAATATTTTTATTTTATAAAATATTAGATTGTGTTGAAATCTTCAAGTTGCATGGCTCAAGTGTTATTGTGGATGGATATTTTGCAAGCACTCATTTGCAATGTTTTACTCAAGTGAAGGTGCAAAATGTTTTTTAAATGAAGTAGTGTTATTTGACACTCCAGAATCAGGTATAAAAATTTAATATTATTTACATTCTTTAATATTTTTTGTATTATTTATTATTTCTTGTTATTTAAAAAAATCACATTAACTTGTAAGTTAGTTACAATTTACACCAAAGACACAAATGTCTTTGGTGAAAAACAGTCTTTGGTAAAAACAGTTGTGGAAACATTTTTCTAAATTATTGCTATTACCCTCTCAATCCCTAAAAATTCTAAATTATTGCTATTACTTCTCAATCCCTAAAAATAAGTTCAAGTTAAAAAATATTTGAGCAAAAAAAATGTCGAAGTAAAACTAATAGTTAAAACTTTTCTTAACTGCTGCACAACTTTTATTTAACATCTCCACTTCAAACTTAGAGTAATGGTTCTTTTTACTTTGACGGGTGAGATTAACAAATAAGTTTCTATATGTTTTATAAGATTTTTCTTGATTGAGTTTGTTATTAGAATTCTTTGTTTTAAGAAATTTGTTAAATATTTTATTTTGTATTTTGATTTAAGTCAAGATTTTTTTTGTTATCCAAGGTTTGAGACCCCTTGAGAAGCAGCGATTGCTGACTATTTTTAATGATGCATGTTTATCAAAAAGAAAATTGAAACATGTGAAAAACTCATCAAATGATTTGTTAGTCCTTCATTAAATTGATTACATTAGTCCAGCTAATTTTTGAGAAATCACTACATAACAACTTTTTTTAAATTCCGAAAGATGCAGCTTATATGAGAATTAAATTTGGTTCTATAAAATGGATGTATTAAAAATGGTAAATGATCTGATACCGTAGAAGTAAAATTACGGGCAAAAATATTTATAGAAGTTGTATTAAAATATATGTTATCAATTAGAGTTTTTGAGTGATTCGTGATTTTTGTTAACAATGAAAAAAAGGGAAGAAAGTTATTTAAAGCAATGGTTTATAAAAATTCAGAATAAAATTGGAAAAAATTGTCTGATAACAAGCATTTATATATTTAACAACACCTTATTAAAAAAAACTGTCAAATAAAATAAATAAAAGCAAATCCAATAAAATCCACTTGTACTTGAATCTCCTGTGTCGTGGAATTTTCTTGTGTGACATCATCAGTGCGCATGTGTTATTTGCTTGTAGATGAACTAGTCGTTACAGTGGTATTTGTATTAGCATTACCAGAAATAGCTGATACGCATACGTTTACCTTAATATTTGAGTTTTGCATTTTTATATATACAAGATAATTATTTATAAATTTACGCTAATGAATCGCGTTATTCACGCTTGCGCTATGATAATTTACCACAGAGTGTTTATATTACTCTGAAATCATATCCTTCATCTAGTTTTTTTAAGACGTAGAGACACAAGTGTCCACAAAATAAAGTGTCTCCGAACTGAACTCTTTCACTATTATAATAGGTTGGACTTTTTAAATACTTCTTCAGCTCATCTGGAGGTGGTAATGCATAAGAGTCAAAACTTAATTTCTCATCTCCATCTTTATACCAGCAAGTCCAATGAAATCCACTTGTACTTGAATCTCCAGTATTCCACATTCTTTTTTTTTTGTGTATTTTTAGGTAATTCATCTCTTACAAATACACCTCTAAAATTTTTTATTTTTAATTTTTTTGCTGCTTTTATTAATTGAAAGTTTGTTAGAGGTTCATTTGGTAATATAATTCCTTCAACATTGATTCTTTTGTTCATTTTTATTAATAGTTTGATATTTTTTTATAGAAAAATTACTTACTTGTTTTTTTCTTATTTGAGGCCTCGTTGACTTTTTTATTTCAATTACTATTACTTTCATTCCAATCAATCTGAAATAAAAAGTTTGGTTTATCTTTTTCTGTATTTAGATCCAGATGGGATCCAGACTTTGTTAGATCCTTCGGATCCATAAGAATTAGTTTATAATGTCCATATGCTAATGTATGAATTCCATCTGCTAAAATAATTCTTTTGTCATCTTTTGCACTGAGTGCTATTTTGTTAATTTCTTCTGTATAAACTGAGATCTTATGACATTCATTTTTCTCATTTGATCTTTTCTGCTAAGAAGGCAATTTTTGTAATCTTCATGTGTTATACATTTTTTAATTACATTTCTTTTTACTCCTTTACATTTTTTCTTATTTTCTCCATGTACTTTGTATAAATACAATCTGAGTCCTATAAACTCTTCAATTTGTGCTCCTCCAGCTTCATCTTTAAACATTCCTAATACTTTTTTATTCGCATCTAACTTAAATCCATTTTGAACAGCCGGATGATTTTTGTCAAATTCACTTGTATCAAATTTATTTTCAATATCATTAGAAATATCTGCATAAAAGTCTTTTGTTTTTATTTCGTATGCTAATGAATCTGTGTCTGTGAATAAGAGTTTAGCTTTATTTCCATATTTATTTTTTATGTAATCATAATGAAATTCATACATTAATGTCTTACTTAAATCTAGGATGCACATACCCAAGTAAATGGGTTTGTTATAAATGAGTTCTGTTCTTTCCATATGAATAGCTATTAAGTTTTCATCATATATATTTCTACTTTTATAGTTTGGTTTAGATGTTAATTTAATAGCTTCTTCTCTTTTAGTGATTAACCTGACATCAACTCTGTTTTCAATATTCTCCATTGTTTTTCCAAATACAGAATTGTTCATGAGTTTAAAAAAGTCTTTTTCAAAGTCATTAGTAGCTTTTATTCTCAAATTTGTATTGAGCTCAATGTATTTACATAGCCATACACTCTCTTCAAACTTTATTCCTCTATGAATTTTAGTCAATTTCAATCCTAATCTTTCATAAAATTTCAAATTTACATAATGAATGATATAATTTTTCTTGTGATTCAAATTGGGTACTAATTTTTCAACTTTTTTAATCAATCTTTTTTAGTCAATTTTTAATCTCTCAGGAGCAAGTGGATAATCATTATGAGCATCATGTAGATTTTCAGGATATTCTAAATCTACTTCAAATATACACGAAGTTACATCTGAAACATTGTATAAATTATGATAATATCTAAAGGTTTTACAATTAAACTCTTTCCATACAGTTTGTGCATGTGAGTAATCTTCATCACTAATATTTTCATCATTTAATCTTTAATAAAATGATTCTTTTGATGGCAATTGCGTTTCATTTAATTTACTAATAGAACCAACCCATTCATAAGGATAAACACCTTTTCTTAATAATAAATATAGTTTACTACCTGAATATAATTTTCCAATATTTTTACATTGATCTTTTTTTAGATTTTTAGATAAGCTATCTTAACTAGAAGCCATAAATCTATAACTATCAACAAAACGTAGTTGTAGTTTAACTTCAATAATTTTATTTTCTTTTTTAGTAAATTCACTAACTTTAATTTCTTTAGAAAAGCTGATATACTTTTCTTCATTATGCAATTTAATTTTCCTTCTGACAATTTCTTTATGAACAAGTGAGAATCATAACCAGTTAAATTATGAATAGTACTGGAATGAATTTTGGAATTTTAAATTGTAAATTATAATCTTTATGAGCAGCTCCTCTATATTTACCAGTAATATGACAATGATCTCTTACTTTATCTTCTTTTAATAATTCTTCACATATGTGACATACTTTTGCATTATTAAAATTTTCTTTGTCTTCAGGTGTAAATATCATCTTTTTTGGAAATTTTAAATAAGTGTTGTAAATCTTCTTAATATCTGCTTCTAATCTATCAACAAAAATTTGTGCAACATCATCTTCTTCACTATTTGCAGTGAATGTGACTGGTTTGCTTTTATATACACTTTCATCAAAACATTTGATATAGTAACAAAATGAACTTGGTGTATGCCTTTGATATTGTTTTGTATAGGAGTCATTTGGATTGGGTGTACAAGTGTTGATAGGTGTAATAATACTTTCAAAGTCAGCATAGACTACAAAGGGTACTCTCATAGATTTTTTAAAATGATTAAACTTCATAATTGTGTTAGGTTTTGGAAGTTCAATACGCACTGAATTATGAGTGTCACAATAAGAATTGTGCTTAAATAGACATTCTTCAGTATTAAATCCTAATAAGAAATTTCTACAATAGTGTACAGTACATTTATGGTTAGATGTTTGTGATAAAAGTAATCTTCTTAAACTTTAGTTTAAGCAATAATGATTAGTTTCATCATTTGAAATGAGTAATAAATCTATTTGATGTTGTCTGTTTTATTTTCAGATATTCGTAAAGGGTAAACTGAACTTTCGTATCCAAATACATTAACACTTATTCTTTGATTATTTTTCTCAAATTGAGTAATTTGATGCAGTGGCACTGGGAATTTTATTTTTTCCCAATTTAATTTATTAGCTTGTTCTTTTAGATCTTTATCTACTCTTTCAGAATTTTTTTCTTTAGTATTAAAAAATCTAGCAACACACCACTTAAAGCATTCATTGTCTTCATTTTTAATATTAATGATTGCTTTTTTAGCTGCTAACTCTTTAGGAAGAGGAATGTAAGGTTTACCTTTAATAGGTTTATATTCGATCATATTCATATCCATCTTTTTAACTGATACATATCTCCAACTTGATCCTAATTGTTGAAATATAAATAATAACTCTAAAATTTTATTTTTAGCTCTTTCGTAGAGTTCATTTAAATCTGTTGATTTTATAACAACTTCTGCTTTTGTTGAAAATGATGCAATAGTTGTTATAGTTTCTCCTGTTTTAAGATCAGTACGCTCCATTTCACATGAAAGAACGATATAGATCTTTGATCCTTTTTTGCTATTTAGTATTTGAATGATATTATTTTTAGCTGATTGTATAAAGGATAAAGCATCGTATCCTTTAACACCTTTAGCTGAAAATTGCTTCGTCACATTTTTAATAGCTGATTGTTTTATTTTAAATTCTATTTGTTTCTTTTCTCTCTTCTTTTCTTTTTTAGATTCTATAGGTTTTTTAACATGGTCACTTTTAAATCCTACTTTTTCATAGAAATCAGAAACTGTAGATTTTAATGTTTTAATTTGCGTAGTAGCTATTTCTTTAATAGGATTAGGAATATATGACATAACCCAATTTGTTAATGAATTGATTTTATTAAAAAATCTATTAGTAATATTTGCTATTTTATATACAAAAGAAAATTATTTATCTCATTTTCAATTTTTCATTTTTTCTTGTAAAGAAATTAAAATAAAAAAAATAAAAAATTTCTTTTTATATTTTTATAGATATAAAAAGTTTATCAAAATAATTTTTTAAAAGAAATTGTTCTACTTTTTTTTTTTCATCATCTATTTTAGAATTTATTGCTTCTATTTTTATACTATTTTTAACTTTTCCATTATGCGACTCTAAATAACTATATCCATGTTTTTCCTTTCTGATATAGTCATATATAGAATTGCATATTTTAACTTTTCCTGTTTCTACATTAGTTAGTTTAATAGATGCTGGATTTGTTGTAATTTTTGTCAGTCTGTCATATTTAGGATCTCTTTCTTTTTTCTCTTTTATTAGATATTTTTTCGGCTTTCCAACTGGTTTTATATCTACTTTTACTTTTTCTTTTTTTACTTTTTTTACTTTTTCAATCTTTGTTTTTTTTGGTTTTTTAGTAATGATATTTGATTGTATAGATTCTTTATCAATTAAATTATTATTCATAGCAATCATAACTAATGCAATGCGATCTTTAGATGTTTGTTGTATTTTATTTAATTTTAGTAATTTTAATAAATACTTTTTTGTATATTTTATTTTATCACTCATTTTTATATAATAAAGAAAATTAATTTAAACTACTTTCAAATAATTTAAATTGTTATGTTTTTCTTGTATTTAGTTAAAAATATAACATTTTTAAACCTTTACAAATCTACTTTCTAATCTTCTTAATTCTAATCCTGCTTCTACTACTAGTTTTAAATCGTTTTCCAATTTCATTGCTTCTATTCTTTCTTTTAACTCTTCGTTAGAAGAGTTTTTTTTGTTTTAATTTTTTGTTTTTGTTTTAATCTTTTTGTTTTTGTTTTAATTTTTTTATTATTAATCTTAATTTATTTAAGTTTATTATTGTTACGTTTAATCTTCTTTTAAATAATTCTATTAATTCTTCTAATTTTTCTGGTCCTTCGCGATATATTCTTTCTTATAACTCTTCGTAATATTTTTGGTCAATTTTTAACATTGTTAATAGTGATTCTAATGCTACTTCGAAATTGTCTTTTTGTTCAAGTTCTAAGTTTGTTCTGTTTTTTATGTTTGCTAATAGTGATATTAATCCTAGTTTGAAATTGTCTTTTAATCTTATTGCTTCTATTTTCTTTTCAAACTTTTTGTAATCTTTTTGTTGAAGTTTTTATTTTTTTATTGTTTTATTAATTTTGTAATTGTCAGGACTAATATTTTCTGATAATGATTTTATTAGTTCTAAAATTATTATTTCAATTTTATGTAATCTAGTTCTGATTACTTCTTCTGATTCTTTTTCATAATTTTTGTGTTTTAATTTTTTTATTTTTTTTAATTATTTTTTTATGTTTTTTATTGTCATGTTCTTATTGTCATGTTCAATCTTATTGTCATGTTCAATCTTTTTCATAATTTTTGTGTTTTAATTTTTTTATTTTTTTTTATTAATTTTTTTATGTTTTTTATTGTCATGTTCAATCTTCTATAGCAATATAATGCACTATATATAATAGCAATGTTCTAATCTTTTTTCAAAATCTTCTAATTCTTCTTCTGATCCTTCTAACTCTTCTTTTTGTTGAAGTTTTAATTTTTTATTAATTTTATAATTGTCAGGCCGAGCTAATTTATAATTTTATAATTGTCTGAGCGAATTTATAATTTTATAATTGGCCGAGCGAATTTATAATTTTATAATTGTCAGGACTAATATTTTCCGATAACGATTTTATTAGTTCTAAAATTACTATTTCAATTTTATGGAATACAGTTTTAATTACTTCTTCTGATTTTTTTTCATAATCTTCTAATTTTTTTAATTATATTTTTTTATTTCCAATTAATAATTCTTCTAAACTTTCTAAATCTTCTTTTTTATATCCGTTTCCACCACACACTCCTACTATATCTTGTAATTGATTCATTCTTTTTTGATCAAATACTAATTCTGATCTTGAATTAAATCTTTCTTCTAAATCTTCTAACACTTCTTCTTCAAATCTTAATTGATCCATTCTTTTTTTAACAGTTTCTAAACATGTTATTTTTTTTAATTCTCTATCATAATGTTCTATTTCTGATACTTTTACATTAAATAATAAATATGACATTAATCTATCTTTTATTCCAAATTTTTTCAAGTCTTCTTTTAATATTTTCTCCCCTACTAATAGCTCTAATTTTAATACTTCTAATCTCAATTCTAATTCTTCTATTCTATTCTTCAAGTCTGCTATTTTTTCTAATCTGTTTTCTAAGATTAATCTTTCTGAATTTAATGAATTTAATTCTACTTCATCATCTATACTTTCTTCAAACATTACATCATCAAAAAATGAAATTAATTCTTTTACTTGGTTTAATCTAATTTCGATCTTATCTTCTTCATATCTTAAATCTAATAGTCTTTCTTTTTTAAATTTTTATTTTAATTTTAATTCTTTTATTGTTTTTTAAGAAATTTTACATTTTTCTTTATACGATTCGTTTTGCATTTCGTTTTCCATTCTTTTTATATATGCAAGAAAATTATTTAACTAATTTTCAAATAATTTAAATTATTATACTTTTTTATTTATCAAGTTATTAATATACAATGTTCATTTTATTTCCGTCTGATTGAAATTGCATCATTCTATCAGATATTACAACAGCCAATGCTTCAGTACCTGCTAGAACAGCTGCATTAAATGTTGCTTTAATTTGAACATCTACTACTGATGATTTTAATCTTTCTGATTGCTTACTCACATCAAAAACCATAAGTGGGTATAAATCTTTATAGTCAGCAGGAGTTATTTTGCTTTGTGTGATCAGTTCATTCATTCCATAAAATTTTTCACTAAACGTAGATGCATCTCTATAAGCTCTTGAAAATTGTTGATTTGAGAACGATAAATTAACATCAACAGCAGCATATCTTTCTTGATTAAGCATGATATACATATTTTTCAAGTCACAATGATCAAATATTGAAGGATTGAGTTCTTGATTTTCATCTTTATTTGTTTGGAATCCAACAATAGTATATCTTGGTTTTTCAGTAGATGTTTTTACACTCAGTCTCTAAGTAAATGTAGTAGATTGTAGAACAGTTATAGTATCACACTGTCGTGAACGAAAAGTTACTGGAAGTGTCACTTTTGGTTCAATAGCTTTATAAAGATTATTTCTTTCTACATCTGATGGAATAACATGTGGTATAAACAATGATATTTTATCAAGATTAACTTGTCCAGCAGCTACAGCAGCAACTCTAAAAATTGCATCATCGTCACTTTTTCTAACAAGAGTTAGTGTATGTTTAAATTCATAAATAACTTTGTTGTAATCTTCACAGAATCCAAAAATGTGCTTTAGAGGTATGCTAAATGAAAATGTTCTTTTTGTAGTTGGTTTCTAAACTATGTAAGCTTGTCTTGTTGCAAATCCTAAGTTATCAGCAAGTACTGCTGTTGTTGCAGAATCTTTATACCACAATTGATTTAATCCTTGTGGTAATTGAAAGTCATTTGGGTATTTAAGCATTCCTAACATTGTAGTTGCTTGACCTAGATGATAATCTGATTCTACTTCTTGGTTTGATAATTGGTATGTTATTTGACTAAATAAATGCATAATACCACTGTTTGTAAGTGAAACTGCATCTGCATTAGCATAAGCAGTTCCATCAGCTTTAAGAAGTCTTCCTTCAAACAAGAAAAAAGCTTCAGATGGAAGTGTAAACAGATCTTGCTGTTCAATGTTGATTCTTATTTCTCCTTCCCTATTTAGATTTGTATGAGCTACTGGCTCATGGAATTCATATCTTTCAATTCCTTCATCTATAATTGGGGTTTCTGTAAAATTTAATACGTCAGAAATTGCCATTTTTTATATAAAAAGATAATTTTTTTATATCATTTTTTAATATAAAAAAATATGTCATTTGCTACTAGATATGGATCTACGCGAATCTTAATCCACGTCCTTTTTTAACTAAATCTTCTATTCTAATTGCATTCACATTTGAAATTTTCTTTGTACGAAACATGGATCTTTCAGATCTAGAATTTATTGCTGATCCCATCATTAATTTATTGATATTTGTTACTTCATCAGATCCAGATTTAATCAAATTTGAAATTATTTCTTTACTTTTAGGTGAAATTGTTTAATTTGATGCTTTTTGAATTAATTGTTTTCTTTTGTCTATCGCTACATCTTTAGCAGCCGATATTGCAGTAGTAGCAAGTTCTTTTCCTGCTGACTTTGCAGCAGTTATTGCAGTTTTTCCTAAGTCACTAGCAGCTAATCTATTTAGCATAGCAGATGATACTTTTGTTACATTTGGCGCTGCTACTCATTTAAATAAATTTTTAATGCTATCAAATATTCCACTTCCACCAATAACATGTTTCTTCATATATCTCTTGTTCTGTACAATTAACGTTTTATTTACTATACATATTTTTTTAATTTATTTTTATCTCAATCCTTCGGATCTCCATAAATCTCCATAAAAAAAATTCTGTATTGCTTTACACTCTTCAGCATTGATTACACATTGTTGTTTTAATTCATCACAAATTGCAACAGTTTCATTTCTAGCACCAGTATTCCCTGCTTTCCACGCAGCTATACGTAATGTAAGCATTTCAGTTAGTGCATCTGGATCACTAGGAAGAATTAGTACTCCTTTTCCAGATTTTCCAGTTATCTCTTCCCAAATAGGTTTTATTATCTCTTTATATTTTTCACTTCTAGATGATCTAGGTTTTCCTGGGTATTTACTAGAAGAAATAGCATCTGTTTCTTTCATTATGTTTTTATAATCTTCAAGATCGTCTTTATTATATATATTTTTATCGGGAATAGCTTTTGTTATCAATTCCCAAAGACCAGTAGTTCCAATATATTTTTTGTCATCGATAATTATATCATTATTATCAATTAATATTGTTTTATCTTCTAACTTAGATAAGTTTTCTTTTATACCAGTTTGACTATCTAGCAATGGCTTATACAACTTTGTCAAGTCTGTCTGTAAACTAGATTCATCTATCTTATCATCTAAAGAATCTTGACATAATTTCTTCTTTAAATTTAGAAATTCATTAACTATTTTTTCTCTTTTTTCAGGATTTAGAATCTTTTAAAAATGACATTTTTATATATGCAACATTTTTTTAAATTACTATTTGTTGTTGAACGTAAAATTTCGTTTGTTTGAACGTGTTTACGTTTGTTGTTGAACGTGTTTCTATTACCATTTAACGAGAAGTCTCCTTCACTTACCGTATTTGTTAATCGTGTTTTGATTCTTATTAAATATATTATCATCTATAATATCATCAACAGACTCTGCTATTACAGAATTTAGTAAATTTAACTTAGTTTAAGGTTTTCTTTTAATGCAACTAATGCATAACCTTTTCTAATTGCTACTCCACACTTTAGAGCAATAAGTTGCTGTGATCTTGATTTTATTTCAAAATCCTGCTGTGCAAATGTTTCACATCTTCCATTCTTAAATACTGATGGATGTATTAAATATTCATGTAACTTAAAAGTTACTAAAGGTTCATCATTTTTAGTATTATTAATAAGTTTATGTACTGAAAAGCCATTTTCAACATTACCTGGAGTTTTTCTTCCACCTCGTCTTATCTTTTTATCATATTCTTTAATCATTCTTTCACAAAAGTCTTCAATAGATTTAATCACTTCAATAAATTTTTCTTGATTAAGAGTTTTACCTACTTTTTCATCAAAACAAACAAAACATTGAATACCCTGTAATTTTTTTAGTTTTTATATCTTTATTTTCACAAATACCATAAGAAAAACATGGTAATGTCTTTATATATAATGGTCCTTCTCCTATTGGATATTTATAAGCAAGTTTAATTTTTTGGTGAGGAACAGGTTTGTTAAATTGAACTAATTCTTTTACAGTTAAATTATTTACATCAAAATTTTTAATCGTTACATACGACATTTTATATAGAAAAGATTTTTTTATATCATTTTAATTTTTCTATTTTTTATTGTATTTTTATTGTAATGTAAAATCATATAAAACAATCTTGCATATATATATAAAATGCATATATTGATTAATGAAACAAGTACAGATATAACAACTAAGTTTAATCCAGTTATCAAACTTAGAGATGATCATGATTATGAAATGGCTTTAGTTGAATTAAAAGCCTATTTTAGATTACTAAATATTAATTCTTCAAGCAATAATTTTAGATATAGTTCAAATAATGGAATCGATTGGAGAGATATAACTATTCCATAAGGAAACTATGATATTAATAACATAAATACTTATATAAAAAAACACGATGTATAATAAAGATTATGAACATTATATTGATATTCATTCAAATTCTCCAATTACATTCTTATTAAATATTTATAGTAAATGTAAAGTTGATTTTACAACTCCAAATTCAATTAGAACTATTTTAGGTTATAACAGTCAAGTATACTCGTCAGGCAAACATGCATCAGAAAGTATTATAAATATATTACATATTAACACTATACGTGTAACAAATAGTATTATAGGAGGGTCATATGTAAATGATACAACTGGAAATGCTGCAGTCAATAAAATGGCTGGAAACGGTATTGTTTACTTGGGCAAGGAGTTAAAGTCAGAGCTGCAGGATCTGGTTTGTTTTTAAGTCCATGGAATAAAGGAAGTTCTGTAGGTGATGGAATGTATTTACGTAGTGGAAATGGATATACATCAACAGGTGCTGGTTTATTATTAGGACCAAACTCGCCATTTGCTAATATTCCATTTTTAAACATGATTTTTTAGATTTTTGATAAAAATCCAGATTTCATTTAGATCTATTTAAAATATATATTTCTATCAAATATATATTTCATGAAAATTCACAAGTTGGTATATAAAAACAATTTAATCCACTTCTATATTTTCCATAACCTCTTTTAAAGATAGATCGATAACAACAAATCCATGTGGTTCTGACCAAGCTTTCCTACAAAAATTTTTAAACTCATCTTTTGACATATCACTTGAAACATGATCTTCATAAATATGATTTACATTTTTTGATTCTTGTTTAAACAAGCATATAAAATTTGCATTTTCTCTTATAGTTTGCCTTGATAGCATAAAATAATTTTGTGCAAGGTAGAAACAATCTACATTACTGTGCCTTCCTCTTATATAGTACTTTTCACACTTGTTTTGCTTTGTTAATTGTAAATCATCAAATATCATTAAATTATTCTTATGAACATCTAGTTCTTCAGGATCTGGGACATCATCAGCTGTTTTAAAAAACTTACACTCCATATCTGTTTTATTATTTAAATTTTTTGAAATGTCTTCAATTATAAGCTCAGGGCTAGCATTCAATTTTTCTATTTTATCTTGTAACTTAAAAAGTTCAAGAATAACTTCTTTTGGTAATTTTTTTTCAAAAGAATTTTTTAATATTTTGTATTCTGGTTGAAAAAGAGATTTTCCAAAAACTTGCAAATTATTATAGTCTAACCAACCAGGCCTCAGAAGTAAGTTTAGTAATAAAGTTGTTTTTCCACAACCTGATTTTCCTACAATAATTCCTCTTATACTTTTAGGTAATAACTTGTTATTATTACGATTACTTTTTTTTACATTCCATGATAAATCTATAATATCCATTTTTATTTATAAAAAGTTTTTTTAATTTATTTTATCTTACATAAAATGTACTGCGTTAAATGTAGAAACAAAACAGATACACTAAACTTACAAAATGTTGTAAGTAAAAATAATAGAAATATGCTACGTGGTATATGTGCTATTTGTAGTCCAACAAAAACTCAATTTGTATCAGCAAAGAAAGAAGATGATTTAGTCAATTCAATCAATTCAGTAACAAGTAAAATAAAATTACCATGGTCAAAGTTTCCTGGTGAAATGCATTTACCTGGTATGAACTTTGCAGGACCTGGCACTAATTTAGATGAAATATTAACTTCTACTGATACACCTAAAGAATGGAGTAAGCCTGTAGATAGAGTTGATAAAGCAGCTTATACTCATGAACTTGCTTATAAATATAATCAAGATACTCCAACTAGAAATATAGCTGATGAAATAATGCTTAAACAAATGGATGCCATACCAAATCCTACACCACGTGAAAAATTAGAACGAAAGATTATAAAACCTATCTTATCTGCTAAAGCAAAGTTTGGTATGGGTGTAAGTCCAAAAAATACCAACGATCAACAAAAAAAGCAAAAACTTGAAATGGACTAATGAACTTGCAAACAAACTTCATAAGCCTGTTGTAAAACAATTCAGAAAAAGAAAAGTAATTTCAAATAGAATCGATGAAATATGGGCTGCTGATTTAGTTGACATGCAACCTTTTTCTAAATTCAATGACAGTATAAAATACTTATTGATGGTGATAGATGTATTTGTATAAGTATGGATGGATTGTTCCATTGATGGTGATAGATGTATTTGTATAAGTATGGATGGATGGATCCATTGAAAAGTAAAACTGGAATTGAAGTTGCTCATGCTTTTACTAAATATTTAAAGAGAGAAAATGTACGAAATTATGGATAGATAAAGGCTTGGAATTTTATAACAAGCATGTTAAGGCATTAGGTGTGCAGCTCTACTCGACTGAAAATGAAGAGAAAAGTTGTGTAGTTGAACGTTGGAATAGAACAATGAAAGAAAAAATGTTCAAATACTTTTCAGCTAACTCTACTAGAAAATACATTGACGTTTTAGATGAAATGGTAAATCAATACAACAACACAAAGCATTCTTCAATTAAAATGACTCCAGCTGAAGCAAGCAATAAAAAGAATGAGGACATTGTTTGGCTGAGTCT